CACATGCTGTCCTTTTCCTGATGGAACTTTTGACTTCTCCCTTATTCTGACAGCGTAATCAATACTTAATTAAAGAAAAGTCAAGTCTCAACATACCTAAACTTACCTAATAAGTTGTGCTTTAAATAATAATAATAAATCAAAATAAAAAAAAGTTATTAACCCTGTTGACTTTTATGTTCTAATCTTCTAACATTCCATTGGATTTTTTCAGTAAGGTCTTTATGAAACGTAATTTCTAAAAACATTTTTCTCTCCAGTGGTAAATACTTTGCTTAGTCAGAGATTTGTTGCCCTTGCTTTGCTTTTAACAACGCCAAATGAGAGTGGAGACAAGCAGCATATTCATCTGAAAGGTCTTTACATTAATTACATCAGCAGTTTGGGGCTGTCTATTATCAGCCTGAATTACACTTGTAATGGCTTTATGATGCCCCATCACGCCTCCTTTCATTTGCATTAAATATAATGGTATTAAATAAGTGCTTAGTCCACATTTTTCTAGGAATGAATCCGTTCAGTTTTTCATCAACATGTTTTATCACAGACATTCCACATAAAAAAAAAGGCAGGAACCATAGTCTGACTGGGCATCCACTTGTACCTCCTCCTGGGGTTTAATGGCGCTTGCACATTCTGCTTCCTCTTCCCCCAGAACAGCCCAGTAATGCTGCCTTCACTGCTGACTCAGGACCAAACCACCAATTAAAGGATGTTCTGGAGTTTCATGTGGCCTACTTCTGTACCACAGCCCCAAAGTACAGGCTCTTCTGAAGTTCGGTAGCGTTATACTGTTTATTTTATATAATACTGTACAGTACATATTCTCACTAAATGGCGAAGTGTAAACAAAAACTAAACTGCAGTTCGGAATATTAAACACTACTCAGAGCACAGAGATTGGCTGGTCACTGTTCATCACACATTACTGTGTTGTCTGACCGAACCAAATTATATGTTAAGTCATATTGGGTCTAGACATTTGTACTAAAATAGTGGTACAGATCTAGTTCTTTAAATAGACCTGTTAGACCCAGATACTGCAGTACAGGTTCAAAGTTCTGCATACAGTATATAGAACAGATCAGACTGTCAAAGGACTCGATGCTTTGTTTTCACCGATTCCCCTGGGTGTCCATCTTGAAGTAACTAAGGGAGTTGCTAGCAGACCAAAGGATCATACAGTGACTGTATCAGAATGCACATTGCTCTAGTTACAGAGGGTGGGTACAGAGGGTGGTGGTACGTTTTTTTTTTCTTCTTGGAAAACAATTAGAAATCACAGCACATACATGGATCTGTGGTTAATTTCTTGTTCTTTTATACTGTGAAAAATTCAAATCAAAGTATGACCGAAGCTCAGCAACTGAGGAAGAGAGTCAGAAATAAAAGCCAAAAAAATGGTTTACTGTGGGGAAACATGAAAATACAGACAAAGTTAGTTATCTTTAATTTACCCTTAGTAATTGATTCTCTTTAAATAAAGATTTAATTTGTTAGTTACCATTGTTGGTTTTGTATACTCTAATTATATCTAGTATTATGTCAAAATCCCTGTGTCCTCCTTTAATTTCACATTTCCTTCAAGGAAATCAAAATCTAGGAAATTCCTAGATGAGCAGACTTAACGCACTCAGAACCTGACAGACCACTAACATGAATCAAAATAACTGATACTAAGTGTAATACAACACACAGAGACTGTAGTAGCTTAGCGCAAAGCCACAGGAGCCAAATGGGTCATTAACTTTTCTGTAAGGTGTCACAGTGACAACTGGGTGGCCTCTCACTTCACAAGGAGTCATAAAGCACTCCTTTAGCCACACCCAGTGTCTCCATAGCAACCACCCTGCCGCCAGTGTCTTTTAACTACAACCATTTCCCACTCCACACACGGGTTCAGCGGAGTGGCCCTCATCCAGATCAGGAAGTCTCCCAAGTTTCCTGAGATAGAGTCACTATCACCTGTAATTGGCCACTAACTTAATGATGGTTTCCTCCTGCTTTTGAAGCAGTGCGACTGCTCTCCACTCTCTTTTGACTTCACCTAACAAACTACAGTGCACACTGAGCTCAGTGGGACAGTGCTTCATGCAGAAGCAGCAGCTGCCTTGGCCTGCTCTTTTTACACTGATCGTTCAACACTGTGATGCGTCTCTAGCATGCAGACAAAAAAGGACAAATATCCTCTCAGAGCCTCATTAAATGACACCTTGGAATTTTAATAACGGTTGCAGTACCACTGCTGTCCAGCAGAGACAGATTTTTTTTTAAAATCTTACTGCTCAAAGATTCATTAAAAATGCCAAAAATCCCTCATTAAAATCTCAACTAACAAATGTTTTTGATTTTAATGTCAAGATTTCCATGCTTGTCATCCTACAATTGTTTTATATTTATTAGGATATTATTGTTAAAAAAAAGAAAATTAAAGTACAATAGTGGCTCAGTAACCAATCAGCATTCACCTAGAATAGAACTACAACATAGCAGCGCCCACTTGGATGGTTTTGAACAACAGTTGCATGACTGTGAGGGCCTGGTCATGGTCGTGCAGCAGGGAAATGCCACGCCCCTCATGCCAGTATCTCGCTACAGTTCAGTGCTCGGGGACTGAGCCTGGCATGTATGAAAACTTTGTATAAAATGGTTATTATTTAAGCTCAACACCAAAGGCAGCAGTGCAACATGTTTCGATTGAAATGACTTACTTTTCAAAACCAAAAAACCTTAATTTGTCCTTTTCATGTCTTATATGATAGGTACTGAAGAGCATTCCAACAAACCTGTGCATTATTTTGATATGTTTAATTGTCACATAATATCAATTGATAATTTAATTCACAACAGAAAAACTCTTATATTGCTGACTCATAAGACTTTGGAAGGAGAAAGAGACAGGAAAATCTAATAGTAATAACTTTTAATACCTTTCCTGCACACAGGTTTTATTACTCATGAAATCTGTCCTTCTCAAATAAAAGTTAAAGGTAACAATGACAGGGGAAAAAGCCCAGATTAGTCCAATCCTCAGCCAGAGAAAACTATAATAATATTGAGGAGTCAGAAAAGGTTTAAAGGGGTTAATGGGAAGTAATTACAGGTGAACTTGGAAAAAAGCCAAAGGAGATGTGTAATCGATAAGATGCAGCAGATATACACTCAGTCTGACAGCCCACCCTAACGCACGGTTAATACTCAGGGAACTCGCCAAGATTAGTGCACAAATTTCTGCTGAGCAATGTGAAAAATTGGAGGTTCAGCGTATGACAGACCCAGGGATGTACCCGATTATAGAAAACGACAGGGTTTACATGGCAGCTACAGATAAAGAGACACGTGTCTAAGACGCACAATGAGGTGAATGTTATTTGAAAGGCTGAAGGCTGCAGACACACTCATTATAGGGAATTCTACATGAATAATTAACGCCATAGGAGTAAATCTCTGCTTTCCAAACCTAGTCACGTCTACAAAGATTCAAATGTGTGTATTCAAGGTTTGGCTTTCATTGTAAAATGTAAACACAAAAAAAAACCTAAATGTAAGTTTTGACTGTAAGAGAAGACAGGTGTCTCTCTACACTAGGACTACAAATCAAATGCACTTTGGGCAAGGCATGATGTAATAACAGGTGAAACACAGGTTTGAGTTTGAACTGAAGGAACAGTAAATGCTGGCAGACTTTCATTCATTCATCCATCCATTCATTCATTGTGTTGTCTATTAACCAGGAGACACTCCCCTGTTATCACAGCCTGCTGGTAAACTGGGAACTAACCCGTGTAACAAAAATAATGATAAAATAAATAACCAAAGCATCCTTCTGTGAGGAAATGGGCCTTTGAGCACCTGGACCACGATTCCTAAAATGTATATTACTGCAAAGAATAGGAAAATACATGTGGTCCCAGCCCACAGCAAGCGTTCGCCCCCACCTTCCAGTCCACAGGCTTCACCACGCACCATGCCAGGCTCAAATGGAGATAAACGGCAAAGGTAATGCTTGATAACAAACTGGAAAGCCTCACTCACCGTCTCGCCCTGATGTTAACGTGAATACCGCGATGCTAAATGATATCCTCTGTCACCGGTACTCTGGGTCTTAAGTGTTCGGAGCTCCGTTCAACACTCTCGGCTCTGTTCAGGTCCGTACAGCCGCCCTGCTGCTCCGGGTTCCACACTAAACTTGCCAATCCCTGGTTATTGTTAGCTTCGCACACACTGCTCCTGCTGCACGCTAATACCCGCCCCCTCAGACTGTCTCCGGTCACACCATTGGACAATATTTAGCCCACCCCATCGGTGATTGGTCCGTCTGGGTGCCCGTCAATTTAAAGGCGGGTCGAAAATCGCCGGCAACAAACGAGGGATGGCGCATTCACGTGTCACTGGGAGAATTCTCCCACATAACATTGTTGTAAATAACGACGAATAGTGTTTGTAGCTGCTTTAAATCGAATTTTTTATGGGCAAGGTGAGTGACAACATTTAACGGGGACCGTTTTTCGTAATGAACGGAACCTGAAATACCCATCTGTAATACTATAAATTAAATTGAATAATATGAACTATAATAAACTACAAAGTTTTGTTAGGTGCTAGCGGGTTAAAAATCAAATATTGTCAAAATGATCATTAGACTTTACTGCACTATTCAGATAATTATTTTATTTATTTTGGTTGTGTGTGTGGATAGAATTACACTTGATATGATCAATTAGGACTCTGTGACATAACCAAGCGATAAAAAAAAACAAGCGATAAAAAACCCCGACATTACTTCATAATAAGTAAGAAGTTTATATTTTTATTCGCATTCTTAATATAATCGTTATCATGTTCACTTATGTTGTTGTGAGTTTTTATCCAATATTAGGATGATAAAATAAAATGACAGAAAGCATAATCATAAGACCACGAAAATGTTTTTTATTAATCATGTTTTGGTTCCTTGAAAGGCATCACCACTTTCTCCAATACCATGTAGCATAATTAATCATGTGTTGGTTCCTTGAAAGACCACTTTCTCCAATACCATGTAGCATAAATGACATTTAGGAATAAGAAGACAGTGACATCTAGTGGACTAATAGCGAAGAGCTAAGTATGTACTCTGTTATAAGATGCTTCTGTACAGACATTAAAATAAAAATAAACTTTACAAACACCTTTGTTGCATTTAAAAACACTCCTGCTCTTCTGTTCAAAGATGTTTGACTTGGGACAGGATGTTGTATGCTGTGAGGCCTGAGTGGATGTAGATGAGTATGGGAGGAGATAAGAGGATGAATGAGAAAAGAGACGAGAGATGAGGAGAGGGGCAGAAGAAGAGAGGCAGGGCAGGAGACATTAAGGCTGCAACGTCGACAGAAGAGAATAGAGAACAACCGTGAAGCCAATTCGCTTAACGTGGTCTGCATCATGTGAGCAGAGTCGTGAGGAAAGACCCACCGAAGCTGACCGTAGCTGGCACCTGGTTTGTCTTGTCGAGAAGAAAACGACCCGAGGCCGCGGGGCATTGACCAGAGACCGGGAGCCTCTCAGCGGCTACAGACAGAAGCAGTCTCCGTCTGTTAGCGCCCTAACTCCGAGGACATGAGTGCAGATGTGGCGGTGTCTCTGGTCTTGCTGGCCGGGATCGTCGGGCTCAGTGAAGCGTTCCGCAGACTAATAATCAGGGCGCTGCCGGGCTCCGAACTCAGTATTTACGTGATGGAGTTTGTCTCCACCCTTCAGCTGTGCTGCTGCACGCATGAGCTCAAGATGTTGGCTGAGGTGGGTGGTATCGAACCCCGACTGGCTATCACGTTAACATACCTGGCCGCCGTGGTGCACGGACTTACCTTCAGCGGGGCCATCGGTAACCCTTCCAGCACCTTGGAACAAGCGTATCACTCCAGGATCACGGGCGGTTGCGCACTGCGGCGGATCGTGTGTCAATTCGCCGCAGCCGCCGCCGCTCGGACCGTGGTGCCGCTCATCTGGAGCTTGGGTTTATCTGGACTGCACCTGCGACACAAGATGCTCGGTTTCCAGTGCGTCAGTCCCATTCATGCAGCGCTACCGCAGGCTGCGGCCGTGGAGATGGCGTGCGCGTTTACCGTTCAGACCGCTGTCACGCACACGCATTCGATGGAGGAGAAGTACCGCGTGATTGCCGTGGCTGGAGTCATCGCATCTGTGGTTTATGCTGGTATGAAAATTCCTGCAACTTTCTTAGCATATTCAGTCCATCAATTCTGCATCTGAAGTTTACCAGAACACCTTATCCTTGGTCTTTTATTCTGCATTTGAAGTTTGAAGTTTACCAGAACACCTTATCCTTGTCTTAGTTTTGTGTTTAGTTACATTTTCCTAGAGCTGCGTCGAATTGGACTTAATTTTTAACTTTGGTCAATCAAAGCTCTTAACGTAAATGTGTGTTTGCAGGTGGCAGCACCACAGGAGCCGTGTTTAACCCAGCCCTGGCCTTCTCCACACAGTTCCGCTGCAGTGGAAACTCCTTCTGGGAGTACTGCCTCGTGTACTGGTTGGGTCCTCTGTTGGGTAAGAGTAAATGAAGTATGTTGATGTAGAGTCTGCAGGTCTATTCTCTTCAATCTGTTTCTTCAATTGTCTGTGTTGAAGGTATGATGATCTCAGTGCTGCTGTTTGACAAACTCTTCCCAATGTGGGCCAGAAAACCATCAACTCTCCATCGATCTACAGAAACCAAGAAGAGCACATGAGCACGGCAGCACATGTCAGTAATGTAGCACACGACTGCAGTACACTGAGAACATGACAGGGGCCTCAGATGACTGTATTTACAACAACACTAATATGCAACGTTACTTCAAGGACACTTAAACCTTAAAGATTCTTTTCTAACCCTGGACACGAGCACACTAAGAATTGACACTACATTCTGTATGACGTAAACAAAGTGTTTGAGAATAGTCTGAGGCTGAGTGGTCTTTGGATCAACTGTCACAAACGCAACAGCTGTGTAGTTTAGTTTAATACTTTTGCATTTTTCAAATAACCTTGAGGGATGTTTTGAAAATGTTAACATTTTCTTCTTGTTTCTTCTGTCAGTCACTAAAGACATTTAAAGCTCAGCACTGTAATTCTACATTTTCAACATTTTTAAAGACATTTAAAGCTCAACACTGTAATTCTACATTTTCAACATTTTAGGAGGATATTAACCAGAACATCTGAATTCTATGTTCATAGTCTTTCTACATTTTTAACAGAAGGCTTTGACCAATCACAAAGCAGTACAGAAGACATATGGCATTATTGTTAAATGTCCTAATGCATCGGTTGAGCTCTTATGAGGTTAGGATTGACAGATTGTGAAAAACATGTGAAATAAAAAATTAATGTCTAAAATGACTGCATTATGACATCATTAGATCATTAGATGGTAGTGACCTCAGGTCATCGTTTCCATACGTACAGAGGACACGACTGTAGACTGTGATTTAGATAGTAGTGACCTCAGGTCATCTTTTCCATATGTACAGAGGGCACGACTGTAGACTGTGATTTTCAAGAACCCCTAAGCAGCATCGAGGATGCAACCATGTTTCTTCCTGCTTAAACTACTGCAGCTTTGCAGTGTTTTAATCCAACATTATTCATAATATTCAACTAATGAATGAAAATACTTGATTAAAGGCACAGGTACAAAAACTATGCATTTATTGACAAATTGATACAAAGACTTGAACTTTCCTTCACCAAAAAAAGCTACAAAACAAAACAGATTTTGTTTTTTCAGTCATCAGAATCTAAGCCTTTGGGGCTGCTTTTCAAAGGTCAACTTGAGCTGACCTGACTTAACGGCAGAGCAGTGTTCATTCTTCAGGTGATGATGACAGACCAGAAGAAAATCAACAGGGATGCACACAAGGACAGGGAGGAAAGGCAGGCGAATACAGTGAGAATACTGAGATGACTGACTGAAAAAGAGAAGGATATTAAGAGCTGATAGAAGTGCTGCTGTTGTCGTCTCCAACCAAATGATGCAACCCAAGTGCTGTGACTGGATCCTGTGATGACATCCATCTACAGAACGACAACATCAAAGTCAACAGATGACCACAAGGCCATGCACTTTATAAAATATTTGTTTGACAGCTGGGAGAACTCACCAGTGTTCAACATCTGCATCCTCAAACTGACCGGCCTCTGTTGCTGCTGAGTCCACATCCATATCATCTGTCAACAGTAGAAACACACAGTGATCATGGCTCAGCTGTTGTTGGTGTTTCCTGTCACTATTGGTATACAATTCTTTCTTTATATATAGTGGCAATTAAACCTGTATTCTTTTTTTAAAATAAAATATAAAACACTGACAAATGGTAATTGTCTCTTGAGACTTCATAGTAGGTTATACAATTATATAATAGTTTATAAACAAAAACACCCTGAACTTAAATCCTAACCTTCAAACTCAGGTTTGTTTTCTCCAGTTCGAACTCCGGCCATGTGGTACTGCTGAGCTATGCTTTCAGCCAACATGCCCTCCAGTCTCTCCAGTGTGGCCTGGCCTTCATGGGTGAGGGATGCCAGACCCTCATCACAGGTGTAGAAAGTGGGAATGTTCGGGGTGCCGTGCTCTAAGTTGAGGTACAGAGAGACGTGTCAATGAGAAACATAAGAATAAGCAAAGATGCCATTCACATCTCACAGCCAAAAAAAAAAGCAAATAGTGATTTATATGTGGTATATTAAAACTATAAATAATTAAAAGTTTAGATTGGGTGAAAAAAAAGGAAAACTCACTGCCAAAACTGGAACAATTTAGTATTTTAAAACTGGCTTGTAAATATAATATGAAGTGAAATGATGTGGAAATTTACCTGCTTCTGCAAACAGGATCCAGAGACGCAGGCACAGACAGCAACACAAGGAGAAAAACAGAACCGGTACATTTTTAAGTTCACAAACAGTAATTGATTATTACTGATTATTGTCATCATGATTTGTATAAATTATTCATTACAATCAATTCATTTGTAATATGGCAAAAAAATGAATGTTGAACATAAACATGTTATATCTATAAAAATAAACATATTTAATACTAACAGTAAAGAATAAATACAGTTAAATTATTAGCTGTAGCAACTCTGTGTCTGTTTTTATGCGAGTGATTCCCACCTGCCTCCTCCACGTCATACTCCTCTCCTTCAAAGTCGTTGTCAGAGTCCTCGTCCTCTGGGTCAGGGTGCAGTGCCTGACAATCACACATCGCTGAAAACATGAGTTCCACTGAAAGACAAAACACACATATGAAGAAATTCAGATCTCTCGCCATGTAGATTAACTTTAAACATTGAACTGAACTGTCATCATGACAAATGACACAGATAATTAATCTTCTTTAAAATGTCAATATATTTAACACAAGTTGATATTCATTCTTAACAAAAGCAGAAACAGTGCTACACATTATATTATATAAACTTAGATTTTGAATAGGCTTAGACATTAATAAACAAAAATATTGTTTAAGTTTTTGGATTAGTGAGTCTTTGCTTCAAATAAGATACTCGTCTACTCACATGCCGCCTTGTCACTTGGCACAAATCGAACCTCAGTGATCACTCCTTCGTCTTGATCATCATCAGCGTCACTGCTGCTTTCATCTCCATCTCCATCATCTGCTGGTTTTTCTGCCATTTCTGCCTCATTGCTATCTAAACAGGAATGAAAAGGGCCAAATTTTTGAACTCGCCCTGGCTGACAGAGCCCTAAAGTTCCTGTTGACTGTCCAGTCTGAACCACAAATAGGAAAAACATCGGTTCCCTCTGTTGTCTAATGTTAAAAACATGAAGGTAAAAAAAAGAGTTGGTGGGTTGATAATTATTGGTCAACTGATTTCTTCGATGCCGCCCTGCTGCAGGTTGTACATTGCAGCTGGCAACATATGGTGACCTTGTGCTAGCTCTACGTGTAGTAGTGCCTTTCCAATGGGCCAATCTACCATACGCTGACCAAGGCTAGTCCATCTGCTATGCAGGTTGGCGAACATGACCTCTGAGCCAGTGCATCCAAAACAGCTGTGATCCAATCATTTAAAGCCAAGGAAAAAACATTCATCTTGAGCTCTGCAGTATGTTGACCAGGACTCACTGCCCAACAACAGGACTGACAGAACGCAGGCTATTATCTTCAAGGACAGATGGCTGTGGTTCCCAACGGGTAACTATAGCTGCCCAAAAGTGAAAGCTCCACAGCTATTTTTTGTGCTCAACATAAGCTTTTTGAGACAGATCCAAAGACAAATACACTTAAGAGTCGACCTCACCGCTGATTTTGCCGTTGACCATGACGTACAGGTGTTCTTGAGGGTAAGCACTGACGTCTCTGGAAATAGCATGGAGGCCGATGGTGGGATACTCCAAAAAGAAACCCAACCCTGAACCATCAAACCATGACAGACGCCTACAAGAAACAAAGCATGCACATTATTGTTTTGTGATTATCACCACGGATGAACCAATCTGAGGTTTTCAGTCCATATACTGACACAGGGGATATGTTTTTCACTACAGATCAGATACCATACATTAGAAAGAAAAGTGTTTTCATCCTTTTATTAAAACAAGTATTATTAAAATAGTTATTTAAAATTAAAAATATCTGAAAGTAATAACATTATTGGGTTATAGAAAATATTTTAAATATTATTTGATGCAATAATGTCGATGTTTGATCTAGAATTATGTTGTGAATTAACCATTATTGTGCATAAAAAGAAAATCACAAAATTTGAGAGCAGGACAGGAAATTGGTGGAAATGATCCGTTAATAAAAGTAATAGATTTGAAGAAAACAATATTAGTTCAGCTCTACACTCATCCTACAGACCAAGTCTTCCAAGATGTTCACCACCCAATACAGGGAGGGGACGGTAGTGACATCAGCTCTGTTTACAAACTGAAATATCAAGAGTCCTTCATGTCATATTTGCAAGTATTATGCCTTTAAAACAAGAGCAGTGATACGTCTTTAAATAAAAAAAAAGACATAGACCGTAAATAAATACAAAAATGTCAAGCTTATATTGACTGAATTAGAAAAACAGTGTTTGTGTTTGATGAGGCATTCTATACTGCTAAATCGATCATGCCATCCATTTTCTGGTTTATTTTGAAAGGCTCGACACCGGAAGTGCTTAGCATAAAGCTAAACATGCGCCATAGAGTGTTTTGTCGTAGTTAAACTTCATGTACCGTTTCTGATATTACCTGATGACACTCATGTTTTAGGGCCCACCGAATTGGCTTAACATTACCTGAAACAAATAATAAAACAAACAACCGCTTACGTTTCAGCGATGTACAGCGTGCCACAACCCAGCCTCTGTCCGTCCATCACCGCCGTGATCTCTGCTCGTTCCAGCCGCACTCCCTCGGTGGGAGGTTGAAGGTTCTTCAGTAAAACCATTGTAAATGGCAGCGAAGCTCCTTATAAATGCGGAGACAAAATAAACAGTGGCGTCGATACTAAAGCAAGTTATAGCCTGCTACAAAGTCTGCTAATTTCACCTGAGATAACTTGGGCTAAATCAGTACCTACCCACCGGAGGAGCATAAACTAAAAACGAAGAAACTCAACTGTGACTTCTTCGAGTTTAAATGAACAAGTCTTAGTGTTTAGGCAAATACGAAGTACACAGACAGCGAGTCAGCCACAGCGGCTCTTAAAGACGAAATATCGCGGCAAGAGCTTACGTCTGCCTCGTAACCAAGCTCTTCTTCGGATTTGTGGCATGTGTCAAACAGTATACACGGTCATTACCGCCACCAACAGACCGGAGTGTGGATGCGAAATCAGTACTTAAAGTGAAACGCGACATTACCTCTTTCTTATTATCATTATTTTGTAAACAAAATCCCCACTATCTCCTCCTCGCTGTTTTATTTGCACGAGCAGTGTTGACAGTTTTGTAAGAGAAACAAGAAAACGGATCTACACAAACAAACTCAAGAGAAGTGAACCTACACATCCAGCCAATTGTGTGTATATTATTGCACATAACACAGATTTACCTTTATAATAACATACTTATCATTATTCATTATAAGTAAGACTACACAGTACCACGACCAGTTTAAGGAGTATTTCCCCCCACGATGTCACCAAGTACAAGATTTAATCCAAATTTAGATTTCTGGATGAATAAAAGTCCAGACAGTTTTTTTATGTGTTTCGAGAGATGCCTGGGATGTTGGTTTTAATAATTTATAAAACATTTATGTTACAGCAAAACTACAGCAACAGTACAACAGAAACATGGAAGGAGCAGCAGTCACATCCACTTGGTGCATTTTCTCAATTAAACCACTTTCTTTTACCAAACAGAATAAGCCTGATTTCTGACGTGTAAGAAACCAAAATGTATTAAAAACAAACAAACAAACAAACAAAAAAAACTGCTCTGAAGCTGTAATTTTTCAAGTCAAGTTCTCAATGGTCACTTGAACAATCATAACTGTTGGTATTGTCTAACAAGTGGCAGTTTTTTTTCTCCCTGTATCGGAAGATTTGAAAGGTTCAGATGTAAAATGGACCCACAGATTTTGGAGGGGTTTTTTAAGATCTAATAAAAATAAAATAAACTTCTAAAACTCTAAATCAACAGATTTGTTTCTTGAGGTCAAATATGGATGAAAACAATTGTAACGTGTGAAGGATGTCTGACAGACCTGAGATCAGCTCAGCTAACTCTGCTGAAAACACTTCTATCTATCGTTCTCTCCATGTTGGTTAACATATTGTAATTTCTTTTCTTTTCTTTTTTTTTTTGGAACAGTCAAATGTTCATAGCAGACTATTGTTTTACACACTGATGACAATGTGATTTACATCTGTAAAAATATACTAACCAACTTAAAACAAAAGTGCAAAAGAGTAAAAAAAAAACATTATTAAGGCTTGTCTACGTTCTTTTCCCACATTTTCTCCTGATGTTTCTGGAGATTTTTTTTTATTTCTATTTTGCAATCTTCCATCTCTTACATTTGTTTTACATATTTATATTATTCCAGGAAAGTTTAAAATGTGAGATAGTTTTCTTTTTCTGCAGCTGTTACTGTCCTGAGCTGTGTTTTATGACGTAACCAGTGTCAGTTCACGTTACTCAGTGAATCACTTTGTGTATTTATGTTTTAATAAAGACATTTTAGTCTGAGACACACACCCGAACGTCTCAGGCTTAACCTTCCTATTTACACTGGGGTTCAGTGAACTAAAAACAGAGTGGCCCCATTGTGAGATGACTGGTGAAGGAAACAAGTGTTGGTCCTCCCCACTGAGCCCCACTCAAGAAAATAAAGCATCTAAAAAATCCTCTGGGGAAAATGTCAGTGCACCGAAATGTTTTCAAAAAGACGTATACAACAGTTGCCAGAACATGAGCAGCACTCAGATCTTTGTAACAGTTTCAGCTGCGAACGGGCTTTCTTCTGGATTTCTATTAGCACACAGGTCAAAGGTCAGCACAAATCTGCCCACAGCAGCATTTCAAACTCCTGTGTCCTTCATATAGAAAATATAACACTATATTTTACAAGAGGACTAAGAACAGAACATCTATTATCTTACAGTGTGCAGGCAGAGTATGTACAGCAAACATGTTCCCACCAAACCAAGGACTGTGAATGCGAGCGACCAGTGTCAAAGCCAACGCAGAACAAAGTTGGGGCCTTGGAGCCAGAGCTCATTAGTCAGTCTTCAATGATACTCTCGTCTTTTCTGTTGCCTTAAAACATCTAACATTTATGTTCATGTCACCTAAAACATAATTTCAAGCTACTATGGTGATAAAAAGCTTACACACACTTATTCATTTGCTAATTTCTCAAATGAAAAAAGAAGACACTAAAATATTTACCATCACAATTCTTGTCATAATAAAATAAATAAAAAAAAACAAAAAAACAAAAACAAATTATGGGGTTGTACAGTATAAGTAAGCTAAAACATTAAAGAAGTGTTGGTTCTGTTTTAGCACTGACTCTGTTCTATCTGTGATCTGACAGAACAGGACATACTTTCTGTTGGTTTAGCTGTATGTTTGGAAATGTGATATTCTGGAATGTCAGTCTTTTCTCTATCCAGTCTCATACTGTAGCAGACACCTGGCAGTTTTGTGTTAGAAACACAGACTGATAAATAAACCCCCCCCCACACACACACACACATTTGACTTAAGATTCAGCTAAACTTCCCCACAGCAAGACACTGACATCACCATGATCTACAGTGAGTAGAGCACTCTTCCAATGATGAGCAAAACATTACTTAAAAATCATGGTGAAAAGGATTAACTTGGGTTTTATTAAACTACAACAAATTTACTCGCATGCTTTTGGGAACCTGATACAAGTGTTATCAGAGTTTTACAGGCTCTTTTTTCCCCCTTGAGCCCAGACAAATGAAGAACACATGTGAATATGACAAATGTAAGGAGCTGCCCCTCTTAGTGTTCAATTCACTTTCTGAAATTTGTTTAGCTAAAACCTCTCAAACTGAAATCCCTATTGATTTCTGTGAACTCTTCACTGACCAGGATGTTTACCGTGTGATGCAAAACATTAAATGCAAGAAAGAAAAAACTTCTTTGGTGCAGTCAGTCACAGTCACATAGAAAGGTCGTTTTTTGGAACAATTTTAAATGTGAGTTTAAATCTGTTCCCAGCCAATTGTGTCCAATATCATTTTAATAGATGTACAGATTATACTGTAGGTTCAACAATAAATGCCAAAGGTTCTCGATGCCTTTATTTGACCTTGAATGTAAACAAGTGTGTGTAAGCTTTTTAACTAAACTCGATACGATAATTTTTGCCTAGACATTATTGTTTTTTCTGTTGATTAAACATAACATTATTTCAATAAAACAATTAATCTTTGCATATAACATATGTGAAGATGCTGAGAAAGTCTTTTGGGCAGACAAAGTTGATGTTTGCAAACAAGCCACCAGGGGGAACAGTGGGTTTTTTTTCCTTTATGTCTCCTGACTTGTTCTTGTTTGGTTTGACACCTGTGCTCTCCTTGGTGGCAGGTTATTAAGTGCTATGAGAATGAGAAGTGCCTTAGAACAAGGTAATGCAAACACACGTACACACTTACAGTATACACATACACACACACACACACACACAATCATCCTACCATATATGGACCCAGCAGTGTAACCCAGAAGTTCAGAGAAATAGTCCAAAATCCCAAAGTGGCCACTGAGTGCGTCTGCTCAAACACTCAGTGCTGTGAGCTGCTGTAGGTCCAAGACTCCATGATGTGTGTGTGAGAGGAACTGACGATTTCTGTTGTGAGGTACAGTATGTGAAGGAGAACAGCACTCTATCACAGCACAACAGAAAGGAGGAGGAGGGGAGGAATAAAGATACCACGTTTCACAGGTGGTTTATGGGTAAAAGGCCTGGCAGTTAAAAAAAAAAACAAACTGAAAGAAATTAAAAAAAAAAAAAAAAGCACAATCACAGCCATCATGAGTGTTGACGGTTGTGGATAGAGTTTAAGGAGTCTGTCTGGTCCTCTGCATCTTCATTCTCCTCCTCATCCTCTGAATGGAATGGACCATTCTGAGGGTCCTGCTGATCACTGTCCCTGGACACTGCAGGACTTCCTGGACCAGGCTTCACTGTTTCTCTGAGGGTCCGGTGTCTGTCTGACAGAGACGAGCTACAGTCTCTTCCCTTTTCTTGGGCTTCGCCTTCAGTCCCCATCTCAACTATTAAGGAGTTTTTCCTCTTCCTTCCTCCTTCTACCTCCTCTATATCCTTCTCCTCCTCTACATCCTCCTCCTCCTCTTCATCTTCTGCATCCTCTTCCCCTTCCTCCTGCATGTCCTCGTCATCTGAGTCAATGCGATTAAGTCTCTTGCGGATAGGACGGTCCTCTTCTGAAGAAAAATCTGACTCATCTGATTCGTCTGACCTGGCCGACCCCTCCTCGTCTTCTTCATCTGTTGAAGGCCGGCGTTTCTTGAGCATCTGTGCAAGCCTTTTGCGTCGCTGCTGAGAGAGAATCTCTCTTCTCCTTCCTCTGCCCATCTCCTCGATGCTCTCCTCCTTCCTGTCCGTCCTCTTCACTGGTCTCAGCTTCTCCTTTTCCCGTCGCATTAACTTTTTCTGTTTGATCGACCTCCATCTCTCTCTGTCGCCAACACTGTATTTCCCCCGCCTTTCTCCCATTTTGCAACTCCGCAAGTCCTCCTTGTCTGTTCTCCTCCACTTCCCTCTCCTTCGGTGGTCATTCTCCTCCTCTTCTTCATAATCCTCCTCCTCTGAATCTCTGGAAGAATGAGATACTGCAAAAAAAGTTTTATTCAAACACAGAAAAATAGGTGCGCATTAGGATGAATGTAGAAATAATGAATTGTAATAAAATATAATTTGATAATAAAATGACAGAATAGCAACTGACCATCACTGTAATCACTGGACAGACGCTGTTTGCGTGGCCTGCCTCGTCGTTTGACCTTCTTCTGATTGACAGAAGAGCGAGAGTTATCTGAGGACTCGGTTGTCTCACAATAGTTGACCTGCTGCTGCTGGCCTCGCCTCAGACCCCGTCTTTTTTTGTCATCACTGTCAGTCATATCGCTGATTTGATCTGAATCTGAGGATGAGGCAGAGATATTTTAGTTGGACTCTTTGCTGAAATATGCTCTCATGAAGTTCAAGTTCTTTGGTTTCCTGTCGTGAAATATTTACCCATATCTCTGTCACTTTCTTCCTCCTCCTCCTCCTCCTCTTCAGAAGAGTGTCTTCGCTGTCGCTTTAGACGTTTCCTACCCCGGTGTAGGGTCTTGTTGGCCTTGTGTTTGGACACAGCTCCCAGCACTCGTCTGGGCTTGGACCCACTCTTCCAGCTGCCCACATCACTGCCACCATCTTCCTCAAAATCATCTTCTTCTCCTCCTGACGCAGCAAAGTCTTCATCCTCTGAGCTAAAATAGAGCAAGCGTAAATAAAGAGTGAGACAGATCTGAAGCAAAAAGTAAAGTGTTTGTGTATGTGTACAGCTACCTGTTGCTGAGCATGAACTCGTCCTCACTCTCCACAGCTGTGCTGTCACTCTCCAGGTCATTCAGCCTCCGCTTCTTCCTGCTACGGATCGAATGTGCCTGTTTTCTGAGTGGTTGCTGGCTCTCCTTCCCATCCCCTGATTGGATGGCAGTGATGTCTCTCCCTTGACCTGTTTCATGGCAACGTTGTGAACAACTGATGTCAACACAATCAAAAACATTTCCCTAGATCTAAATGACAGGATCTCTAGATTTGGCCAAACAGTTGACATGGGTTTGTTGAAGTGCATTTACACCATGTTCTGATTTGAGTTCACTCACCACAGAGGTCTCTAAAGTCTTCTTCTATGGCCTCATCAATCGCATCATCGAAGTCATCAAACCTGTAACACACACAGTAGCATAAAAGGAATAAGGTCAGAAAACCCACCTTCAGACATGATTATTAATGTGTAACATTTGACAATCCCCAGCACCTCTCTAAAATAATCTGTGTGATGTCATTAGCATGAATTATTAAAGAAGATACTGACACAACATCAATAGTGATATTACAGTTGGTTGAATGGACTCTCACATTTACATTATATCAGCTTTATTGAGTGATGTATTAACTGTACTGAAGTCTGGCACCAACCTGTAACTTATGTGTTTCCTGGTTCTAGTGGACCTTCTTCCAAGGTTTTTACTTTTCTTAGAATCTTTCTTCTTCTCCTCCAGCTTTTCTTCATCTCCCTCCTAAAATAGAAAATAGAATAAAGTTTTTTTTAATTGCACAGAAAACCACTTTTAATACTGGGATAATTTTCCTGTATTGACACATGCTGATATTGAATATTAAATACTGTATTGAAGAGACAATATAATTTTCAACCTTCCAAGTTAAGTTTTATAAAGGTTACACTTGAGGTCAGACTCTGCCATTGGCATTTACTCACTGGTATGATGTTTGCCACGCTGATCCCCACGTACACCAGGCGCTCACGTCTGCCAGATGAGGACAAAGAAAACTCAGAATTCAGAGAAATGCTTGGTTTTAGTGTTAATTATTCTGTGTGTGATGTGTGTGTTGTTTACCTTCTTTCTGCTCGCTCCTTTTTCTTCAGTTCACTGTCCAGATTTTGCAGCTGCTCCTCTAGTTTCTCGCACAGCAACTTCTAAAGGGACAAAAACAGCAGGATTTTTTTAAGCGTTAGACGAGTCACACAGTGTGGTTCAGTGTTATGATTTGCATGCGTGATAATAAATGCATTCTCCATGCTCCTCTTACATGTTGACAGGGTGGACAGAACCACTCGCCGTCTGGAATCAACATGAGTGGTGGCCGAAGACAGGCGGTGTGGTACCCACTGTCACAGGAGTCGCACAGTAGAATCTGGGAACACACACAGAAATGACTCAGCTGGCTGTGTTTAATACAGAGATAGTTGTTTCCTTTTGGATTGCTCTGCCCCCTATAGACACTGCCTTAAAATTCACTGCACATTTATTTAAAGCAATCTGAAATATCAGTGACAGTACTCGGTACCTGCGATTACACATTAAAAATAATTGCACAGTATTAGTATTGGTTTGAAAAAAGTAAAAAAAACCAAAAACTTAATATCAGTCAATTTATAGTACGTTTAAGTGAAACAAACTTGAGTCACACTTGCCACATATGCCTGCTCAAAATGAAACAGTGCTCAGACCAGTGAGGCCTAAACATGACATACATCCACCCTCTAACAAAACCTTAATTGTGTTTAAAAACTATTTACCAGTTCAGGATGGTTTGGAAGACCACAGTGAGTGCAGGCATCTTCACTGACTAGTTTCTCTGATTTGCAGGATTCTCCTGAGCCGCTCCCTATCTCGACCAACTCCTCTGCCTGGATCGTCTCTCTATCATCCACTTCCTCATTCAGCTTGCGCTTCTTTGGGCGTATGTTGTACCATCGAGGTCGTCCATGCCTTCGTTTACCCTGAATTTAAAATAAATGGTTAATGAAATGAAAAAACAAAACAAAAGTAATTACTTAATGGGCAAGAAGAGAACAATTACCCGTCTTTTTCTGGTATGAATAACCAAATCTGTTTTCTCGTCTTTCTTTGCAACCAGGGTCTGCTCTTCCTCTTCATCCATGTCCTCCTCATCTTCCTCTTCTCCACCTCTCTCTTTGGAAGGCACTTTCTGCTTTTTCTGTGGTTTCTTTCTCTGGCTCTCAACTACCTTCGAACTTGGCCTGCAGTTTGGGAAAACAGATGGCGATGACAAAAATGTAACATGGGACTAAATTTCATACATTTCAATTTCATATGGCTAGTAAGAAATCAATTATTCCACATGTACCTGCAGATCCTGGCAGATCTCCTGAGTGGCCTCATACTGTCCAGCCGTTCCCGTACCCTATCTTTCTGCTCCTCTCGCTCTCCTTTGCCTCTTAACTTGTTCCTTCTGTGAGGAGGAATCTTTATCTTGAGCCTGATTCCTTCCTTCTGCAGCTCAGAGGAAGCCTCCTCCAGTGGAACTCGCTTCTCTTCTGAACCAAGCCCAATATCCCTGACTCTGACCTGGGCTTCCAACAAACCATTGACTCCATCTCTCTGACGGTGCAGGTGCTCCTTTTCAATATGTTGATGTAATTTCAGTGGTGGAATTGTGTCGGCCGACTCTACCTTCACCATAACTAAAGTGCTTTTATTCCTCTCTTGGTCATTGTTACTGCCATCCTCTGCATCCAACACTTTTGTGCTCTCGTCCTTCAAATGATCAGCCTCCTGCTGATGGCTGCTGCACTCTTTGCTCATTCCTATGATAAACTGTTCCTCTGTTGTTTTCTTAGTCAGGTCCTCTGCCCTTTCTCTGCCAGGCTCCTCTGTAGACAGCGAGACAATGCCACTAATATCAGCCTTGTTTTCTGCTGCTTCAGAGGCTACTTCACATTTTGAGCTTGTCATTTTAGCCTCCATTGCTGTTTGAGGAGTCAGTGCAGTGGCGGCTGCTGTGTCCCCTTCAGTTGGTCCCTTTCTGACCAGCACTGACTGCCGACTGACTTCCCTCTCTTCCTCCACTACTCTGGTAGAGTCCAAACTTGGCCCGTTTGGTTCCTGTTGGTTAACGCCATCAACTCTGTGACGCTCAGAGGGGCTGCGAATGACCCCTACATGACCTATGACACCAACTTGGCCTATGACGCCGGTGACTCTGTTGTCTCCCTCTTTGTGAGGCAGAACCACAGGCGCTCTTCCATTGGTCAGTTCTTGCCTGGAGGCAGTGACCATAGGCTGCAGCGGCTGGGACAAAATCTGTCCACTGAGTGGAGCCACTGAGTTTGTTAAATTCCCATCTCGTCCCAGACAGTCCTTGCTCTGGATCACTGAGGGGTTACACACAATAATACTGCTGCTACTGTTCATGTTCACATGATTACTCTGATAGCTCTCTGTTAGCTTTAGGTCCCTCTTTTTCAGAGGGATATTGGCCTGCTGGTTACTCCTGACTGCTGCCCGCTCTGCTTCATCTTCTTTCTTCACTTCCTGTTTTGTCAGGATTGCACCTGGTGCCATGACAACAGACACTGCATTTTTCGGGGCAGCTGTGTCCCTGGATTCTGTTTTGATAACGGTGGTAATAGTGCTTACACGGTTATCTAATGTTAAGGGTTTGTGGTCCACATTTTCTTCTTTCACCTCAGTCTCGTCATTGTCCCACTTGTTTGGCTGTTGCAACTCCTGGTTTATCACTAGAATACCAAAAAAGAAATAAAAATCAATTTGTTTGGTGGGTTCATTTCCTCCAAAAGAAAGCTGACATATAAAACCAAAGAGAAATTAAAACAGAGAATGTGCCATATTAATTATATACTTATATACATTTATATACTGTAAATGAACTTGGTGGTTAAAAAATAGTTTTTTGTGTGTTCAGTAGACAGTAAGAACCATCTGTGATACCTTGCTGCAGGGGCTTTGCTTCCTTTATTGGGTGAATCTCCTTGCTATCAGTGAGTTCTTCCCCATCCTTGACAGGGTAAGGGTTGGTGATTACACTATCGTCCACACCTATGCCATCAAAACAAATATAAACAGAGAAATTCACAAAAAAGCAATGTTTTAGATTTGCAGACATAAAATATATAGGGTGGATTTGAATCTAGCTGTTAAAGAGTGTTGATCAGAACACCATTGGAGTTTTGATAAATATGGGAGAAAACACAAAAACAGAGCAGCAATTCCTTTCTCCAAACCCAGTGGTAATTTTGTTAACAATTGCTTATAATAATGTATCACTGTTGACATCTTGCCACGTGTCCAACAATGTGTTTTACCTGCTCTGTTCTGTGTGGGACTGGAGCATCGAGATAAGGCCTGGTCCTGGTCTTGGTCCTTGTCTTGATTGTGGTTTGGATCAATCTGGGCCTTCAGTGAGTCCAAAGCTTCGGCCAAGTCATTACGGTTCCTGATAAAACGGAAAGAGTACTTTAATCAGATCACAACTTAACACTCAGAGTGAAGAGTGAAACAAGACATTCTTCTTTTTTGTGTGGGGCTAAGACACGCAGCCTGGCTGTCCTACAAAAACAGAAAAGGTTCTCAATCATCCAGGTCATTTTATCCAAAGCAGTTAAAAAGAGGACAACTGGGCTGTCTTGGCTGCTTGAAAACATTTCACCTCTCATTCGAGAGGCTTCTACAGACAAAAAGACAGATGGTTTGAAAGAGCAACTGAAGGAAGCTATCTACATCAATCTAGAAGAACCGTTACTCAACTGAAAAGGGGGGCTTAAGACACCATCCTTTAGCCACCTACAAAGTTGTCCTGAGTCACTCTCCTGAAAACTCAACACTTATACAGAAAACACCACAAACCGTCTCCAGGGGCTCCCCGGGTGGTAGAGGGCTCCCAGGTGACTCACCCAACCTAACATTCACACGTTGACCCTGATGATCACAACATCCTGTCATAAGGAAAGGGTGTGGTCACCTCCTTTGTTTCATTATTACTCCCTTCAGATATTCAACCACTCTGAGGGAAATACCAAAATTTTTCCAGCAGTCAGAACTGAAGAACCCTTATGGATGAAGAGGTGAAACGTCTTCAAGAAACCAAGACTGCCCTTAACTTTACTGCTTTGGATAAATAAAGGCTTAACTTTATCTCTGTCAAAAGCTGAACTCTAACCAAACAAATTTTGGAAGAAAAAAAAAACAGATAGCAGTGTTACCTGACAATACACTTCCACGAGGACCCGTCCAGATCATCCTGCTCCTCTGTGTACAGCCTGATGTTTTGCTCGTGGTCCAACTGCAGCCAGTACATCAGACCTTGCTGGTCCCGACCTATAGGCTGCAGACGCATCTTCTCAGGATCCTCCTCGTTGATCGCTGTCTTGAATTTCAGGTTGTCATCAAACTGACACTCACAAAGATACTAAAAAGTATGGGTGAAAAAAGTGAAGAGACAAGGACAGAAGAAGAGAAGAAAAAAATGGACATTGGACAAATTACAATAATGATGACAGAGGTCACAACAGCTTAGATTCAGATTAGATCAGTATCAATTCATACTTTGAGAATGCTTGACTTGCACTCCATGGACATTTCCTGGTAGCCCTTTTGTTCCAGCTCCCATGCCCAGGTACTATTCAAATCCTGGCAAACCTATGAGAAACAACGATTTTATCTGGTCACCATAACAACATACATTCTCAGACTAACATTGTAATCTCCTAAATATCCTCTCTACATTCAGCATCTGGTTCTTTGAGTGTTACGGAAGAGCTGAGTAAACAATAATGGGTTTTTTTCTTCCAGCTATTAGTTTACATTACAACCATACACAAAGGTCTCACCTTAGCCAGGTATTTTTCCCAACGGTCTGGTGTCACAGACTTTCCCAGTTTTCTGAGCAGCTTGACATGGAGCTCCACGAGAGGTTTGGGGACTAGAAAAAAAATTGAAAATTTACAAACCAAAAAAAGCATAAAACATGAATTTCAAACAGGTTTGTGAGGACAGGTAAAATGATCCAGCACCAAGTGACAATTTACTGATGATGTTTTTTCCAGTATTTCAAACTCTTCTGGCTTTTACTGATCATCTGCTGCATCAGCAGCAAGTTTAATATTTATTACAAATGTAAACAAATGTATATCTGTCTTTGAAAACAGAATACAAGATATCCTGAAAGAAATATATTTTAAAGACCCAAGCACAATTTATGACCCAATTGTGACCCCCTTTATCCTTAGGCAAACCTATTCCAGACTATTCCCAAGAAGATGACTGATATAAGCTTTAGAAATAAATAAAGTTTTTACAGAAATAATAGCATGCTCACAACCTAATTAATACAAAAACTCAGGAGGCATGTTTTCAGGCCACACTGTGGGTCCTAGTTCATAAATTTGTTTGCTCTGGATCTAAAAATAGTGACAAAATGGTGATGACTTTTGTTTTCTGTCATTTGTCAGGTTCAAATTGCTGTATATAAAAGACAATACAGACTGGGACAATGTGAGCATCTTTATAGGAATTCAGGTTTATCATTTCCCCACGCATGAGAAGTTCGGAATGATATGAAAGTTGATAATGCTATTTTACAAAAGTATGTGTTTCCTCGATTCGACCACTTTGGTACTCTACCTGGTTTATAGGTGGAAATGTTTCAACACTTGTTTCACAAAATGAAAGTAACTTCTACCTACATTAAATGCAGGCAACGAAGTGTGGTCTGGTGAGGCGTTTAAGGACTTTAAAGACCTTTGTAAATGTTGTGTTTATCATGTCTACGGAATTGCAACTCAGCACTCTCATTGCATTACTAATCCACATATGTGAGACAAATGTTACAGTTACAGAAAATATCAATATATGCTTTAATTTAATCTTTTAATCGTTTGTTGTTTACGGTTCAGAAGGGAGACGGAGTAAAGCTAACGGTAATTAATGTGGGCCAAGCCAGAAAGAATGGGCTGAAATGTAACGTTACTTACTTGACAGCAGGTTACATATGAACTTAATTTAATATGTGACAAAGTATTTAAATGGGACGGGTGTTTATTTTCTACGAAGGCTAAAAGTTGACGGAAACCTTGGTGCTAACTGGCTAAGTAGCCAGAGTCGTAGCTACAGCGCATGCGTACAAATGACAGCCACTCTTGCTTAATTAATAATTAAATAATAAAACAAGATCTACAGTTTGTCCTACTACAGTGATTGGCTACGAGTACATATGATAACTGTATAAAATGTCGTCGTGAGCATCATGCAGACACGCAAACACTGCGGACATGGTGTCGCCTGAGTCTAGCTTGGAAAAGGCCGTTAAAAAAATTACACCTGACAACAGTCCGGAGCTGGTTGGCTGTGTGTTCGCTCGGCACTGCTGCATCATGGCTCCCAAACCAAAATTTTAACAACGACAGCTCCACAACAGTCCTGACATCGCTGTCGACGACCTGTCATCCAGCTCCGGTTCCAACACTCCCTGCTACTGTGTCAAATTATGTTGCTTCGTCGGTGTCCGTTAGCCCTAACTTCTGCTCACAACACAGTTCAGGTGACAGAGATTGGCTTTACAGCAGAGTAGGTTACTTAGCTCAGTGTTAGCATCTCTGTTTGCCCGACGGTTTCCGTCAGAACTTGGACACAGCTCTTGACTGTCTCAAACCAACATTCGGCACAGCCGGGGAGAAAGTGAAAGACATTTCATGGACTACAACCCGAAGCCGTGCAGCAGGGCCACATTACACTTATACAACATTTCTCCTCATCCTCCTCATCAGTGATGATGGTGTCAGTGGTGGTGGCCCCGTCTTCAGTTGTACAGTGTCGCAGCTTTCCACTGCTTCTTCGCTATTATCGAACGCTTACCTGTCGTCGTGTCCCGCAGATACCTCTCCATTTGCGGGAAAGTCATCTCAGGCAGATCCAGCACCGCTCCGTATCGGTCTAGGAAAGAACAGGCCTCTGCGAAGCTCGGGCAGAGCGTCGGGCCAGAGCTCCTCGGTTCCGCCGGAGGAGCCATCTTTCCAGGCGGAGAGAAAGTGGAGGGGAGGGCTCGCTGCTGGATGCGAGTAAAATGAATGGAGAGCCAAACGTTTGCCGGTGTCAAACTCCAGAATACGGGTACAAGAATAACTTCCGGGGTTGGTGTACAAAATAAAAACAAATTTAGACAATCGTTGTAGGGAGTTAGGCTCTGATCTGTTAACAACCGCTACATTAAAATCACACACGGTTTAATAATGTTGTAGTAATACAGTAACCACCTAATGTAAAGTCACATATTTACTGATTCATATAACCATAAAAAATCTTTCAAATCTGCAATAATAATTAATACAGAGCCTATTTTAACAGGTGAGTAAAGAATCATTTTCAGCCTAATTACATGATGGAGAAAGTTTAACAACAAAGAACAATACATAGCATCATTTAATTCTTGACTATTAATTTATGTTTACTCAGTTTAGCTTAAAAGAAAACAGGAGATCTCCATTGGGCTTTGAAGCCGAACAAAACATAGCAGCCAAAATTTAGCCATAAGAGACGCTACTCTCCAAGATCAATGCATAGATGTGGTCGGGGTTCTACATTTTTTAGATGTATAATCTAAGGCAATTTCAGTGTAAGCTGACATTAAGGAAAAATAATCAGTCTTCCGTTGACTTTTTTTTTTCACTAGTCTGTGCTTTCTGTATGTTGATGCAGTTAACTGCAGGTATTTAAAGAAAAAAGCATGGAGTATTTAGAAATACCTAAATAATAAAGTTACATGTTGTGTTTGATGACTCAATTTCCTCGTGTCGAGAACCTTGTCTAGGCATGTAGGGTAGCCATTTCTGTCACGTTTTAAAAATAGTATTTGGTTTCTTTAAATAACTTAAACTGATGGTCATCCGAGATAATCAAAGTTACAAGATTCACTCTTGGCTCAACCAAAAAAAACAAACAAACCCCAAAACCTATTAACTGTCTTTTTCAACAAAACTACTATTCCACTAAATAACCATATGGTTCACACATTACACATGTTCTATGCATGTCATACCATACAACACTACAATTTCTATATGAGATTCTAACAACTGACCCATATTTACTTTATGTATTTGTATTTTATTTTTTTAAAACGGTTGGACTCTTGATTTGTAGACCCAAATCACAAATTTCCCGGGACGTTTTGCGTACAGCTTGTTGAACTTGATGACTCTGAAAAGTTGGAAGGACCAGGGAGGGCAGAGGGAGAAATGCCCAGAATTCATCGCGAACGCAAAGAGCAAGAGCGTCAAAAACAAATTAAACACCAGCCTGTTTTTTTCCATTTCTCAGACATTTCCACAATAAACCCAAACAGCTTCATACTGATTTATCCCACACAAGACGAGCTATCCAAGGGGTTGTTTAAACGACGGAATACGTTTATTTCTAACAATTAATTTCCATATTATATTCAAATGTAGATCACATACAAGAAAAACTCATCCATTTACTGCTACTGCTAGATGTGCTACTGCTGCTTATAGCACTGCTGCGTAGATTTCTCACGCTGCCTTCAATGATTGTCGGAAACTCTAAACATGTGGGTCAGTTTAAAGTTCAAAGAAAAAAATATTTGCATGAAAATAATATGACCGTTTATAAGTCTAAATACGCCTACAGATGCTGTTAGAATCGGTGATTCTAAGTCGTAGTGGGTCACAAAGATACGCCGATAACAGATACTGTTAGAATCAGTGATTCTAAGTCGTAGTGGGTCACAAACTATTTCTTGGCCTCGTACTAAAATGGAATTTTTTTGTTGAAAAAATTAAAACATATTTTCAAACTTAAATAATTTTAATGGGCATCCTTATTGGGTTACAATTTTGACGAGTTCTTTGACTTTAAAAGTTGTATTTTATTGTTGAAACCAAGTCAATACAGTACACAGCTAAACATTTGTCAAAGAAGGGAAAACATAAAAACTCTGAAGTCTGAGCTGTCAATTTGCATTTGAATGCATCGCGACGGAAGAAGATTGTTAGTCTCCCCGGAAGAAGGCTCGTTCGGAAAGTTGTGTTTTTTATTGTTTCATCTGTTGAATGTCGTTGTGTTGTCTTCTCTAGCGCGGAAAGTTACCTTCATTTTATAAGGAAAATACAGCACCCTGCAGCACGTGAGTTGAATTTCATACTTCCATTTCAGACTTAAATCAAGCCGCAATTCTATTATGAATGAATCTAAAATCAATGCATTTAAATGCAGATCTTAGAGACGAGGGTGTGTTTTTTTTAAATCCGTGGCGGTATTCATCACAATGTTCAACGTAAACAAAAATCAAATAGGTTGCCTAATGTCAAAATAAATTCTACGTAATCAAGAAATTGTAAACATTATATTTTGAATAGAAGAAAATAGTTCAGATAAAGCATTAATCTGATTTGTTATGGTTTTAGTTGTGGTGAAACAGTCATGAGTTGTGCTTGTGACTAGTGGTTTTATTTAACCACTTTAACCCCAGTAAACAATAACTGTTGGTAGATGGTACGTAGTATTTTTTTATTTATTTTTTTGGTGTTGAAAAAAATGCATAGTAAACATTTTGCGATTTAACCAGGACGTGTGTGGTTTAGACTATACTAGTTTACAACAGAGTAAACACAATAAATGTGACCAAATAATAAAAGTGTTAAAAACACAAACATAAAACATTAGATTACTGTATATTAGTGCCAGTTAAATTGTTGAATTGTTGAAAACTGTTAAAATTGAGATATACTGTGGGTCTAGATTAAGGTCATTTTTACTAATACTGTTTTGGTTGGTTAAAAAAAAAACCTTAATGCTGATGTGTATTTGAACAGCACATTATTCATGTTTGTGTCTACAGATAATATTTATGCAGTGCAGTGCAGGTGAAACAGTTCATTGAGGAGATGGCCATAGCACATGTGGCTACAGAGTATGTGTTCAGTGACTTCCTACTGAAGGAGCCGACACAGGCTCGTTACCGCAGTGTCCGAACTGAGCTGGCTGTGGACAAGATGGTGACCTGTGTGGTGGTGGGTCTACCTCTCCTCCTCATTTCATTGGCATTTGCACAAGAAGTGTCAGTTGGTGAGTATGGGTTACTGTGGGTCAGGTCAAGAACATGGAATGGAATTAGAAAAAGTTAATATAGTTAAAAACGATCATTACTTCATGATAACTATGCCTTCTTGTCATAGGGAAATCTGATCAGATTTAAACTACATGGCATTTGGTCGTTTGGTTTTAGCCCTAATTAACATCATAACAAACAAAATATTATTTTTCAAAGTGGACACTGTCATTTTGAAAAATAAATTTGACTAGAGAAATTACCATTTTCCATCTGCGTTTGGCCATCGCTCTGACGGATCATAGCTGGAGCTAATTTGTCTGACTGTGTCTTTATTGTAGTATATTTTTCTTGTAGGCACTCAGATCAGCTGTTTTGCTCCAACTAACTTCTCCTGGCGACAGGCTGCTTACGTGGACTCCTACTGCTGGGCCTCTGTTCATACACACACTCAACCTCTGTGGCTTCACAAGGTGCTAACACTGAACACAACAACAACCTTCTAACACACCTTCTACCAAAACAATGAGACGGATTCTTCTTCTAATCTACCTCGAATTTGTGGCTTCCTTGGCCAACTCTGTTGCTTGGTAACTTGTTATTTATAAGTCTAAGCACAAAATACATTTGTGACAATAGTACAAAATAGTTTCCATGAATTAATAAATAAATAGAAATTAAGTACAAAGTAACTGAATGTGTAACAAGTTTAACTCATGTACGTTAAAAGTTAGCTCGCAGTTAGCGTTCATCTTTCTATCAGTTTTGCACTTTTGAGCCCCTCACTTAACATGTGGAGATCAGTTTTGCACTTTTCCTGAAGTGCTTTTGAGCCCCTCACTTAACATGTGGAATATTCAACATTAGGTGCACATTGTACTAAAATATAAAAGCACTGAAATTACAATTAAAGCTTGAAGTGCTGTAAAGATGTTGTTCAACAGTGGGTGGTTCACGGGGCATTTTGAGACAAAGGCTGTTGTGTTGAAATGAAACAGTCCTGCAAATATAAAGTAGGTTTAAGCTGGTGTTGTATTTGTTGAGTCATTTGTTAATTCATTCAAACCAGTTTGATCTGGTGTCTCTGTTAGCAGCTTCTTTCTCAGTGAGTGTTTGCTAGCTTGTCCTCTGCTACCTGTGTGCACAGGTTAGCTGTTAGATGATGGCTTGCTTTAAGAAAACCAAAGTTGTGCTTAAATTAAACCATCCTAAAATAAGTCACTAAAAGAATGGGTTCTGCTACCTGTGTGCACAGATTAGCAGTTAGATAATGGCTTGCTTAAAGAAAACCAAAGTTACGCTTAAATTAAACTGTCCTAAAATAAGTCACTAAAAGAATGGGGTGCAACTACATCTGCTGCGGTTTAGTTTCAGCCTCTAGGGTATTAGTACCTAATGCTTTATTGTCTTGTTAAAGAGTTAGTAGACGACGCCTTGTTCTGTTCATACATGTGACGACACAGCTCTGTGTTTTTCATTGTCACAAACACATAAAACTGTGTTTTTCTCCTTGTTGTTAGGTTCTGAATGAGCAGTGAGATTGTTGTAAATACCAAATGTCCTGTCTCTTATGTCATGCTCCGTCTCTGTCCTGTCCAGTT